CTCACACAGACTCAAGGAAATTTGGTCTAAAGGGGTTTGCAAAGTGGCCTCACCCGAAGTCGAAGAAGGCAGGACTTGGAGTTGTGCGTAGAGATCTTCGACGTACCGCCCTGCGATATCGATGAACTCGTGCTGAGTTTTGTCTGTCATGCGGTGAAATCGGCATCGACAAAGAGAATCTCTAATACACTTGTCCAAGGGAGTTGGTGGGCTAAAATCCTACCTACTCACTTTTGTAATTTTAATGAGACATTTCACTATTTGTATGGTTCCTTTATGCATACTCTACATGCATGAAAATGAGTGAATTTTATATTTCTTTACATGACTAAAATAGAGCTTTTCTTGTAATATTGAAGCGCATTTTTACTAATTAGTCATTCGAAGTGGAAATTATTTGGTTTAATAAGACAGACCAGGAAAGATTGTCAACCCCTTTACAACCAAATCTTTCTTCGAAATGAAAAGTCCAGTGAAATTGAAAGCCAGCATTTCTTCGAGGAAACTTATTTTACGTTGTGACCCGCTTGCATCCATGGTTGTGTAGATTAATAGTAGTGTTGCGACTTGAAGCAAACGACCCAGCTTCGAAATCCATCGATGATGAGATCCTGGAGATGTAGGACCTGCCCTCTATCCATGAAGGGAAAGCTTTTTCCAGGCATGACTAAGGGAGCTTCAATGGCATCTTAAGACTTGTTAGTGGGAAATTTTAAGATCATTCTATACATCAACATAAGTTACTAAAGGTGATTCGGATTCTTCTTCAAGTGAGGTCTAGATGCCAACTTGAAATCATTAGGACAAGTATAACAGAGCCGCTGATGAAGCCCAAGTCTCCAGGCCCCATTTTCTTACCGCAGAGCACGCGTTGCCGAATGAGGTTGTCGGGGTCATGGAGACACTTGGCCTGGTTGGCTGTGCTCAACACCTCACCAGGCTTGCCAGAGAGCAGCTGAAGTCTTGCCTGGAGGGCTGGCTGAGCACACTGGGAGCCGCAAGTCTCCAGCCGGAAGCGTGGTGGCCATAGCAAACGCTCAGGGTGTTCTGCGCGTCCCTTGTATTCAATTTTTCCCGGCAGACCTGCATAGGGAGGAGGCATCGACAAAAGTTAGGCAAGTGTGACAGGAAGATGAGAGGTTAGGCAGGATGAGGCGTAGAGATCAGACAAGAGGATGATGCTTATGTCTGCTTGACATTTGGTCATATGCGAATTTAGTCATTCCTTCTATGCATCTATTCAGCTATAACTTCAAGCATAAGTTTATTTACATTTTGTTATTTATATCGTTCTAGCTGAGACAAAGAGAGGGCCGATCTGATAGATGAATTCGGAATAAAAAATTGGACCTAATGATGTTGTGATCAAGACCTATTCTATTAGTCATGGTGACACTGAGAAGATCGATAAATTATAGCAAATGCTTGCAAGCTAGAGAGGCGTAAAAATGGCATATTTAAGGGGTAGGGCTCTTTCAAGACTCTTTATCTTTCCTCCTGTCGATAATAACTACTTGTGAGTAGGAACTTATGAGATTATCCAATCACAGATCAGAAAAAAGCAATAAAAAGGTCATTTTGAGCGCCATTCTTGAGCGGTCACAGGGAACTTAGGGACTATTTCTTGATATTTTGGTAGCGATTACCATAAATAATAAAGATTATTACGAAAATTTTACCCAATGTTCGATGCTTAAACTTTTGGAAGTACCTCTTCATTAAGCATCAACAGTTAGGTTCGACGTTAAGTGACTTCCTGCCTCTGAAACAAGACATAAAGCTGCAGTTAGAGAAAAATTAACAGTTGTCATAACTGATCGGCCCTGAGAATGAGACTTCATACAAATAGAACATCAGTTTGACTTGACTGATCAAGTAAAAAAGGCAGGTATGCGCATTTTTCGTTCATAAGTAGGGCTTCGAGATAACCAATAAACCAGTCACGTGATATGTATTCATCCTATTTCGTTTAAGGTGATCAAGGAAGGTTAGTTGAATTTTCCCACAATGATATGAGTATGGCTGACGTCTCCATTGAAGTTTATCTAGCATTGCTTCCCTAAAAGGTAGACTTTAGTTTCGAACTCGCCTAGGCCTTATAAACACCCCTAGCGGGAGTGGAACCATGACAATGCAGCATGTAATTTCGACACGTTAATCCCTAAGCTACATTGTAACGGGTGCCATTAGATCACAGGAATGATGTGAATTTCAAGGAAGCCTAGGCAATATCCCATATAACATTCTTTGGTGGGATTGTCGACGAAGCAAATTTATATTTACTATACACGAATTAAAGTTGAATTCGGAGAAATCTCTCATTTCATAATTGTTGAGCTTACTGTCATTTCAAGTGAAGTGTTTGGTGAAGAGATTAGAAGGTCGATTGCATCAGAATACGACGGCGGGTTCCTCTTGACCAGCTGTCTATTGGCTTTACTAGAACATTCATGTTGACTCTGTTTACGAGGTAATCTCCTTCGATTCTGGTGAAAGGTGTAAGCTTTCGTCCGTCATATGACGGACATCATCAGAGCAAGGTACCATCGTTACAATCAAATTCAAGCTAACGAGTGTTCTTGATTCGTCATATGACGAACGAAAGATTAGCACCTTTCACCAGAATTAAAAGAGTTTACCTCGGAAATAGCGTTAACATGAATGCTTCATTAAAGCCAATCGACAGCCGGCCAAGGATTTTGAGATCACCAGTAAATTAGTTATATGAGATGTATGTGAAATTCGATGTAAGCGTCAGCTGTAGTCATATAATTGTGGGAAAATTCAACTACCAGTCTTTCATTACCTTAAAGAAAATAGGATGAATACATCTCGTATAACTGATTTACCGGTAGTTTCGAAACCCTACTTATGAACGAAAAATAAGTAATGTAGTCGAATGTCATAGCAAATATAACTTTGCTTCGTTGAAGATCCCTTCAAAGCCTATAAAATGGAGAAATGCTTGGCCTTCCTTAAAATTCACATCGGCCCTGTGACCCAAGAGAACTTGTGGCAATGTGGCGTAGTGGTTAACGTGTGGAAATTACATGCTGCACTGTCATGGTTCGACTCCCGTTAGTGGTGTTGATAAGACCTATGCAAGGTCGAAATTGCTCCTGGATGATAACACCTTTTGGGAAACAAATCTATATGAAATTCAATAGAGGCGTCAGCCAAACTCATATCATTGTGGAAAAATTCATCTCCCAGTCTTTCATTAGCTTAAACAAAATAGGGTGAATACACCTCTTATGTCTGCACATGTTACTTTACATGAAATGCAGTTAAGACTGTGCTCAAAATGGCAGTATCATGAACCAATATTTGGTCCAATAAGAATGGTTTTAGCTGCTCGAGCATAAGCAAGGGCGAATAATTCTACAGAATAATAGTTCTACCCACCCTAGTACGTAGAAAGTGATGAAGGACTGATAATTGAATTTTCTCTGGTTCCCAAAAGGAACTCTTATTTAGGGTGGAGTGCAGTCTCTAACTCGGTTTAGTCTCATCGGTACCTCTAGCAGGAATTGAACATAGCTAGTTCAGAGTATAATATAGAGATGATACCACTCCTCCATACTACCACGAGTCCCCCTGAGTCACAGGGAAGATCTGAATTTTAAGGCAAGCCAGACCCCCCTATTCTACATTCATAGCAGATAGGAAACCAGCATATGATGGATGGGTCAATGTGCTCAGACCTATACATCACACTGTCAGAGATGAACCACTGGTTACAGCTATAACCATTTGAAACAGACCTCAAGATCGATGCTCCATCACTTGATGCCTAAATTCAGCAGATAAATTTCGAATCCTTGATGAATCTGTTTGTTCACCTTGAAGAGAAAATGCTGTTTCCACATTCAGACGCAGAGGCTATGGACCAGAGTAAACAAACTTGATGGTAGCGACAGAAGTAATAACAGATTTGCAATCGCGGGAAGCTCTATGCAGAATGAGGAGAGTATAACAATAAATCCACGCTAAAGCGATGGATGAGCCGAAATAGGGAATTTTTCATGCACCTTAATTGGTTCCTCAAGTCACTACATCAAATTAAACAAAACGCGGAGATAAGCATAATCGACTTTCTTAGTCATTATGATTTAAAACAATAGGCCTATCAAATAGTAATGCATTTATTTAATTTGCTTGACTATGAGGTTACTCTGTG